ATAAAGTCCTATAAGCAGCTTGCAGAATTCAGAACAGGTGCTAAGAGGCTTTTGCTTTGGAAACACCGGCTGTATTTGACACCTGCAGAGTTCTACAGCCAAATTTTCCTCTTGGATTTTTATTCACCTGCTCCATCACAAAGACTGGAGTCATGGAGTGAAGTCCACAAGCAGGGTGACACACGGTGGTCCATAGAGATTGGCCTCCTGGCCACAGCTGCTTTTGATCTTCCCCTTTCCTGGGCATGCAATGCCAATCTGTAATAATCCTATGAGCAACAGTCATCATCAGCTGGGTTTTAGAGAACCACAGTTTATTAGCAGAGATGGAGCTGCACATCACAATAAGCAAGAATTCAACAAACCACATGAAAACCTCCAGTAAAAATAACAGGGTGTTTTCAAACCATTGTGAGACTAGCAGGATCAAAAATGGCAGAGCTGACAACGGACGCAAGTAACATGCAGTGTATTAAGCAAAGGCTTTCTGCATTAAGTCTGTAGCCCATTTCACCACTCACTGTATGAAATCCCTGGAATAGTGCACTGTTGCACTTTCTCTCGTTTCATTTTCACACTCTCCTGCATGCACACAAGCACTATAAATAGCCAATATTTTCAACTGGCATTTTGATCAGAAAGCATACAGAGTAGAGACTTTCTACTTCTGCCATTTCAGGCCCCAGGCTTGCTTGGTGTCCTCTGGGGTCCCCTTCAAGAAGATTTATTTATTTATTAACACTTTTCTCAATGTGGTGTTCCAACAGCCAGCCATAATTACTCAGCCTACCCTGTCTGAACTTTATTTTAATCCTCCCTCTAGTACTTGGCAATCTGATAGATAGGCTGGTAAAGCCTCTGTTAGGGTTTGATAGCACCTGCGAAAATTGTTTTTCCTAAACAGCCAAAGAAACTATCCTGCAGGGCCCAATGCAGCAGAAAATGATGGCAACATGAGTTTTTCTGTGCATACTGAGGGAAAAAAGATTGGTATTACACACCAAGACAGCAAGGCGATGCTTTTCATCTGCCAAGGTTATGCTGGAAGCAACCTCAAAGATACAGCTGATTTTGTTTATTAGAAGTTGCCTTTTATGCCTTTAACACTTTGAGAAAAGAGAGCTCTAAGGATGAGATTTTTAGATTTCTTGGACTACAAATCCCATAATGCCCCACTCTGTGAGTTCTACTTGACTTACACACAGCTTACAGATTGCTAAATGTGGCTGACCTGGGACAAAAGGCATAAATTGGAAGGCTTTAAGGCTTAGTTAGGCCTCGCTCCACCTACATAGCTTAACGGTCAGAAAGTAAGCTCCTAGACAGGGACAGGAAGCTTAAGTACAGAGTCAGAAAGTAAGCTCCCAGGTAGCACCTAGACAGGGACAGGAAGCTTAAGTACAGCCAGGCATAGCTAAACTTGAAAGCCTTTCAAATTAGGCCTTTTCTCCCAGGTGAGCCATATGTAAGGTGTCAGGTAAAACTCTCAGCATGAGGAATTATGGGATGTGTAGTCTAAGGACCCTGAAAATCCCGTTTGTAGTAAGATATGTTAAGAAAAGAGGAGATGCTTTGATAGTAAAACAGATAGTAAAACACTAAGTCTGAAGTTAAAGCAAACCTCCACAACACTTGCTTACAAGCAAACAACAGGACATGCAGTCTTCACTGTCAAGATGCAGCCCACTGAACCTGAAGCAATGGTTCTCTCTATTCTGGGAAAAACATATTACTCTGCCAAAGCTAAAGGTCAAGGCTCCACGTGACATCAAAAAGCTGACTGTCAAAGTTTCATGCAAATAAAGAACTAAGAACGGGCAGAAAAGGGAAACAACTTCAAACCACTGTCTCCAATGTTAGCTCCTAGATCCAGGCACAGGAGATCATTATGTACACATAAAGCAATTTTAAAATCCATATACTTCATGTTATCAGTCACAGCAAGGCCTCTTATCTAGACTTCTCCAATCCAGAACCATCTTTATTTCTTAAAGGTCTCTTTATTCCAACATGAATTCGGATTTCACATTTCTAGGCACCCATATAGAAGTGTCTCACAGACAGCTTTATCTTTTGAAGCAATGCCCTGGCACTGAACTGATGAAAGTACATATACAAATTTCTAAGTACAGCATTTAATTTTTAGGAGCATTTCCAATGAGATATACAGATTTTCTAACCTGCATCTTCTATAGCAAACAATGACATGGGTTTTCCAGAAAATTTTGAATCAGAATAATGTCTAATGCCTTAATCAGAGCACAAACTAGTTTAGCATACTTATCTTATATGTATTGGAGAAAAAAAATCAGTATTTGAAGTGAAATATTTGATATATTAGCACCAGTGTGCAAGTTTGTGCTTTTAGACTACATAACTGTCCGGGAACTAATGGAATTGTAGTCCCGAAACAGAAACCTGCACACCTGTACTTGTATCAGACTAGCATTTAAACTTGGGACATATGGGCTAAAATATGCGCTGTTCCGTTTGGCTCACTGTATGACGTTTCGCCAGTCATTCTAGCCTTGCCATTTTCACAGGGGACTTCAACACATCCGCATTCTTGAAACCTATGACAGTGTAGTCTTAGAGATTCACAACACTGTCATAAGAAATGAAAAAGAAGTGAAATGAAATGCTGGCCTGCATGCCAAGTAGAGTTTAACTCTGATTGGATCTGAAGAGCCAAAAGGTAAATTCATAATTTTATGACTGAACTGGAATTTTTTTTTTTAAAGGGACGGGTTATCTCTCTGCACCTAGTTTACAAATCAATAAAACATAAGGGGCAAAATTCTGTTGGCACAACTTGGGTCAGGTGCTGGAAGCATTTAATTTAGAGGAATTACAAGCTTTATATCCACTTTGTGTTTGGTTCCAGGGCTCCCGAGGGCTCCCTTTCATCCTGGGGAAGCCCTTGGGAACCTTCGGATGGGGAGAAGAGCCTTTAACAATTAAAAAAAAAACATCACCCGCAGTCCCAATGCCACCTGAGCATGACAGCAAGAGCTTCTCTCAGTTCCAGGAATATGCAAATAAGCTTGCTTTCTTTGGTGGCTGGTCTTCAGGACTTAAACATAGGATCCCTTTGAAGTCGTATTTCATACACACACACATACGGAAAGACTGCAAGACTGCCAAAATGTTCAACACTGTGTTTTCAGCTCTAATTGCAAGCTATCTATGAGGTCTAGGTCTGCTCTCAGATTAACAGTGAAACTTGAAAGCTCACCTAAGTTTGCACTGAAACCCCACTTCCCATCCCTGAAATAATAACCACCAAAAAGTGTTCAGTGGAACTTTTTTCACCACACATTATGGATTGTAGATAGAACGCAGAAGTAGCAAAATTATGCATCCAGCAGGATTACCACAATTCAAAAAGCACTGTTGCATAAAAGCAACCACAACGAACCAGGAATTCAATGTTGACAGAAGACAGACTCTAATATTCCTTCCTCCTCTGTTGGAGCACAGAAACCAAGGAAGCTGCTGAAGGAAAGGAAGGCACCTCCTCATAACCAGCGAGGAAATGTAACTCTCCATAGCTCTCTCTCTCTTCTCTGTCAGCCCCCAGAGGGCTAATTTGGCAAGGGGCTTGTCTGTCAAGGTTTTCCCCAAGCTAGTAACTTCTGTGAGTTTCAGAGGAAATCTGGTTCCCAGGAAAGATGATGTGCCTGGGGAACAGAACATGAGAACAAGACTATGCATGCCCTGTTGGATCACACAATAGCAAAGTATTTTCTTTTGTCTTAAATCTCTTGCCCATTGATTCCACTGGTCAGGACAAACTTGATGGCCTTGTAGGCCTCTTTCAATTTCACTTTTCTATGTATTTTTTTTAAATTCAATACATCACTTCTCGCATGGATTAACCAGACATCTCTAGCAAGCCCACAAGCAGAGCATGGAATATGTGAGAGAATAAATTTTCTTTATCCATTTTCTATGTGTTATGCACTTTCTACATAACTTTTGGAAACATCTGGCATATCATCTCATTGGCACCTTCCCCCCTAAACTAAAAAATTCCAGAGATTAGGTGAAAGGAGTCATATGTATGAAACGTGTTTGTAAAAGAAAAATAAAGTCTTCTGTGATGGCAGGAGGAATTAAAACAGACATCAGATTAGGCAGGAAAAAAGTGGGGAGAAGAACACACTCATAGGAATTACTGCAATCCACAAAAACTCATACTGAAATAAATCTGGTAATTTTAAAGGTACAACAATACTTTTGTTTTGTTTCTTTTTATACACAGCATCTATTAGGAATAGTTTGATAATCTCTCTGAACACACATAGGATCAACATGGCACCTTAAAGTTACCGTAGCTTGTGTTCATTACTGACAATAAAAAATCAGATCTATGAAAGAGTGACCGACCATCACCCAACAAAGTTAACACATGAACTCGCCATGCTTACCCGAACATCTAATTCTCCTTGCGCTGCTGGAGAGATTTTTTCCGAGCAGTTCTGAAGTTTGTACATCCAATAATGCTTTGCTGTCATAATGAAGTTCAATGGCAAAAGAGAGCTTGTCCCCAGAAGGAAGAAGATAATGTAGGCCCCATGGAAGTGATCTTTGGGTTTGGGGAAAGCGAATCTGTTTTCCACTGGCTCCACAAACAGTGGTGCTTCATCTTGGATAGTGGTGTTCATGCTCCTACACAAGGCATTAGCACTGCAATGGCAGTCGTCGTCTTTGTCCTCCAAATCAACAGCCACTTCAAGAGAAATGAAAGAAATAAAGTGCAGGTTACCGATCTGTATGGGGGGGGGTCCCCTGTTCCCGTCTCTGCTCTCTCTATTAACACTATCATTAACTTTTTGCTACAGCTTGAAAAGCCTACTTCCTTGAACCACCACTTCCACAATCCCTCAGCCAGCATGGCCACTACCTGTAATTGTTGTTTAAAAATTAACTTTTCGGAAGTTCTGTGCCTTTCGCATTGAATGATTGTTGGAGTTGCCAGTGGAAAATCCCACCGTAAGAACCATGTTAGGGTGTAATACTTTGTTGTTAGTGTTATATAGTACCCAAGTACACTACAGGTAAGTCTGGAATTCAAATTTCTCTTCACGCTCAAACTCACAGGGCACAGACTGGGCAAACTGCTTTCCTCTAAATCCAGCCACTGCCATTTCTATAATGGGTGTATGTGGCTTACCTCTCAGGGCTGATCTAAGGATTATTGAGAGGCTGACTACATCGGCTCTTCAGCCTGCTGCATGGAGAGCTGCAGGGCAACAAGTGTGCTCTAAAAGCTGGTGATTAGACCACGTCTTTGCTAGAGCACACCAGCCCACGCCCCAAAGCGCTCCTACCCACACCTTTCTGGCCCCTGTTAAAGGGCTTCTACTTTTTTGGTGCAGAAAGGATCACTCTGATTTGGATCGACTCCAGCACCTGTGATTGCTGGAACCAATCCAAGGAAAACCTTCCTCTTTCAATTTGCCAATATAGTGAGGTAGTTTAACAAGCAAGCCCTTTCAGGATACTGACAAATTAATCAATACTCTTGGCTTGGCAAAGGAAGTGAAAAAGAATAAATTTTTTTGTTTACTGTATGTAGACTATTGCTGATGTGCTACATCACTTATAATTTTTTTAAAAAATTTCTTCTTTGCCTTGTCTTAAACAGTTGGCCGAGTAACCCACTGCAGGCAAAGAAATTAAAAACATTTTTTTCAATAACTGATGCAGCAATAGCCTACATACAGTCAAAAGTTTTTTTCCTTTTCACTCCCCTTGCTCTCTGCTGACCAGGGGAAATGATTAACTGACCAATATTCTGAAGTGGTTTGCTTATTAAGCCCCTTCACAATATTGGCAGGAACTATTTCTCTGTGAATGGTCAGGCTTGATTAGATTGTTCTAATCAAGCCTGCCTGCTCCCAAGCGGACCACACTAGTTCGCTCCCTGCTGCTAATGTGGCTGTAGTCTGAGCTTTAATCAAATGCATAATATTAATGCTTATTTTTAAGAAACAGTAGCCATGTGCTGCCACTGAAATCTGTAGAATCTGTCTAAGCCATGCCAAAGAAATTCATTTTAAATACAACAGAATCCCTGTATTAATAAAAATTTCCTTCAGTCCTCCAGAACAGACATAGCTACCTAGAGTATCTTTAGACAAAATCCAGCATTTCCTACTGAGGCCCATTAAAGCTGAAGTACATCTTTAAAAGGACCTATTACAAAATGTTCTTATTTAAACAGAGACTTTAAAAATATATTCTGTAATATGACTTAATTGGAAGGGAGGCTTTTAGAATATCCACTCAGTTTTCTTTTGTTTTCCTTATGAAGCAGCTAAATTGTTAGTTTCCTTGGGTCTGTAGAGAAGGCAGAATAAAGTGGTTTCCAACGCACTTTCCAAGAAAGTAGCTGTTGTGAGTCTGTCTTGGAAGACTGGAAAAACTAAAATGGAAAAGAAAGGCAAAATATTGTGGCACTTTCAAGACTAATAGGCTTTATTTCAGTCTGAGCTCTTGTAGAGCAAATTCTACATCTTCAGACATAGGAGGGCAAATATATGAAATAAACACAGGGAACATATATTTGCATTCCTGTGTCTGAAGAAGTGGATTTGGATCCACAAAATTTCACACTGAAAGAAATCTGTTACAGTGGACCCTCTACTTACGGAATTAATCTGTATTGGAACAGTAGCTGCAGGTCAAAAAGTCTGTAGGCCGAGTCTCCATTGACTTACAATGCATTGATCCTGTAACCAACCGTTTTTGTTCCATTTTTGTTCCATTTTGGGTTTTTTTTTTCTGGTCTGTAGGTCAATTCTCAGGCTGCAAGTCGAACCTAAATTTTGTGGCCGGAGAAGTCTGTAACTCGAAAAGTCTGTAAGTCGAGCCGTCTGCAAGTCGAGGGTCCACTGTAATCCCTATAGTGCTACAGTATTTTGCCTCTTTTTCTCTTTAACTTTTGCCAAAAATACTATCGACTTGTACTGTATATGTATATGGGACAGCTACACTCCATATGTACATAGTCAAGGAACATCACACAGACTAAGCGATAACAAAATGCTATCTCAGGACTTTTTTTGGGGGGGAAATAACATTATTTGAGGCCACAGAAAACCAACGTAGATATGTTTGTAAGCACATACAATACGCTTCCCATTTTTTAAAGCCTAGCACCCGGCTCAGCAGCCAAAGTTAGTGGGGCAAAAAGAGAGAAAGAGAGAGAGAGAAGAGAAGAGATGTCCCTTTCGTCGTCTGCCTTGAAGGAGGGGGCACTCTCATGCCAATCCAAAAGAGACACAAATTGCCAATTTAACCTCTTTCACTTGACCAAGCGCTGGTTCAGAAGGATGTGCAAGCTTTTCAGTTGGACAGAGGTGCGCTCCAGGCCAGAGGAGACTTGACAATGCACAGAGTTAATGGTTCACCATGTTCAGCTTGATTAAAAGAAAGAAAAAGCAGGGGACGGGTGGTGGTGGAGGTGGTGGAAATGCTGCCCAGATGCTGTAAGCAGGCGTCTTTCCTTCCAAATAAACTTTGAAGTCCAGTTCAGGAATCAACCTTTCTTTCTTTTTTTTTCCAGCGATGGGTGGGAAAGCCACCCTTCCAATACAAAGTCAGGTTCACCTCCCCAAAAAAATAATAATAATTTTTAGGGGCACCTGAAACTTGTCTTAGAGGCCTCCCGATTTTTAGGAAACTGTATTGTCCTTAACTGACTTCTCAACCCGTTCATCTCTTGCCTTCCCGCTGCTGTCACCGGATCAGACCCACATCGGGAGGGGGCAGGGGGCAAGGAGGTCGAGGGTTCTCCCTCAGATTTACTGCTGAAGCGCCCAGTTAACTGGAAAAGAGTCAAATGGGCACCATCCGGGAAGAGGTCAATAAATAATTACCCCCAGTTTCTTGGGTTACCCACCTCAAGCAAGGACCCCTTCCCTGTAAGTTGCTGGGGGGGGGCGGGCAGGGGATGGAGCGGCCGCCCTTCTAAGGCGCAAAACGGGGGTCGAAAGCTGTCTCAAGAGGCGGACCGCGGAAGCCCCTGCCCTCAATGCCAGGGTGTGGGGAGGAGGCCCAAGTGCCCCGTAGGGGGAAACACAGGCCCTCTGCACATGCCCACTGAGTCTCTTCCCATCCCTCAAATCCTGCCAAGGAGTTCCTTCCTCGGCTTTCGAGGCTGAGACGCCGCCGCAACAGCAAGGGAAGGGAAGGGAGAGGGGGAGAGAAAGGAAGGAAGCGGGGGAACGAATGGGAGAAATTGCGAGCTACACAAAAGAGAGAAGAACAAAGACACACACACACACACACACAGAGGAGTCGACAGAAGCCCCCGGCAAGCCCGCGGGCGAAGGCGCGCCAAGCGAAGCAGGCAGCCCCCCCGCGCGGGAGACGCCACTTACTGTCCTC